ATTACGACTTTGACAGTTATTTAAAGACATCAACGCGAGTGGAGCCGCGGGTAAAAGCTAGTAAATGTATAAAATTGTTTTAAGAGTATTATTACAAAAAAAATTTATTTAAATGTAATTCTTTTGGCAAAAAATAAATAGACTAACATAATTTCAAAACATTCTTCTTTTATGGAAAAGATTTCTATAATTGTAATATCTCACCTGTATACAGCTAAGACTTCTAAAGAGATTCTGAGTTAGAATTTTTGAAAAATTCATATTTAAAAATGGATTTATTCATATTTTGATGCATCATAGGATAGAAATTTTAAGAAAAAACATCAGTTAATATTTTAGTAACTCCGAAAATAATGAGAATTTTTCAAAATCCTAACTCAGGATCTGTGCAGCAGTCTTAGCTCTATATAGGCGAGATATTATAATTATAGAAATATTTTCCATAAAAGAAGAATGTTTTGAAAATATGTTACTCTTTTTTAATTTTTTGCAAAAAAATTGCATTTAAATAATTTTTTATTGCAACAATATTCTTAAAACAATTTTATATGCATATTCTAATTCAGGCGACACTAAATATCAAACAACTTACTCGTTTATATGCATTTGCAAAATCACGGTTCCAAATGTACAGTCAGATTACTAAACTAAATCGGATGTAAGCTAAAAGAAACATCGCGGACCTCATTACTTTTGATATGAACTTTTTGATTTTGATCTGGACATATTATCAATTTCTTTTTTTTCTTTGGAGAATGCTAATTGTTTAATAAATTTAAAAGAATTGCATTGACATATCACGTTAGTTATTCATTGCTCTATCTCAGTGGTCTTCAGACTTTTTCTATTCACGGAACCCCTTCGAACTTTAAGATGCTTTTGTGAAACCCCGAGAACTAGAAAGCATTCTCTTTGAACCCCACTCAATATACATACTTCGAAGAATATATCTCAAATTAATATTTAAAGTAGATCAACATGTTTTAGACACTTTATGTAAAGGCAATTATAAAAATAGCATTACATTATAAAAACCTTCTAATCTATTTTTTAATATAATTTACTCATTATTAATATTAATTTGTGATCCAAGTGTTACCTATCCATGCATTATATTTAATAACTGGACTTGCTTTTTTTCACACAAACTGTCGGTCTAGATCTATTGAGATTAAACGCAATCGCATTACTTATTTTGAGTTTAATTTGTTTTTATAATTTGTTAATGTGTAGCCGCATACATTGAGAAATATATTTCACTGAATGGCATTAAATGCTTACAGCTGTGTGAGAAATACCGTGTATTTTGCATGAATTCGCAACCTAAAATTTAGAAGCCGTTCTTGCTTAAATTTAGATTTTAACATCGAATCTACTGACAAGTTGTTTCCTCTCCATCATTATAGGTATTTTCCCTCAAATGCAAAAAGGTATATTTTCCATTAGAAAATTATTTAGTTTTGCAAGACATTGTGCTAACGAGTATAAAACTATCTCGTGGAACCCGAGATAGTAAACAATAGAATATTCATAGTATCTATATATATAAAGGAGAAAAGCGACTCACTCACTGACTGACTGACTGACTGACTGACTGATTGACTGACTGACTGACTGACTGACTGACTAATCACGATATCCCTGGAACTATTCAACCTACATACTTGAAATTTGGTAGACATGTTCTTTTCATAGAGTAGACATCAACTAAGAACGGATTTTCCGAAATACGAAACGCAAGGGGCGTTATAAATAATTGTTTCCATGTTTAAACTACTCAATGTACAGTTTTGAAATTGGGTTAGCAGATTCCTTTCATACAGTAGAGATCCGCTACAAAATGAGTTTGGTGAAAATCGTCCCCCAAGTGGCGTTGCAGGGGCTTAGGGGGCGTTATACATAATTATTTTCATTTTAAAACTATTTGACGCAAAGTCTTTAAATTTGATAAATAGATTCCTTTCGTAGAATAATGATCAGTTACAAAACGGGTTTTGTGAAAACAGACTTCTAAGTGGCGTTGCGGGGGATTAAGGGGCGTAATAGATAAATATATCCGTTTTTAAACTACTTCACCTACCTGCTTGAAAATTGGTAGGTAAGTTTCTTTCATGGAGTAAATATCCGCTACAAAATGGGTTTTTAAAAATTGACCCCAAGGGGTGATGCGGGGGGGGGTTTAAGGGCGTTATAAATTCCGATTTTTAACTATTAGACGTACAGTCTTGAAACTTAGTAAGCAGATTCCTCTCATAGGGTAGAGATACGCTACAAAATGGGTTTCGTGAAAAGTGCCCCCAAGTGGCGTTGCGGGACTTAAGGGGCGTTATAAATAATTGTTTATGTTTAAACTATTCAATGTAATATTTTGAAATTGGGTTAGCAGATTCCTTTCATACAGTAGAGATCCGCTACAAAATGAGTTTGGTGAAAATCGTCAACCAAGTGGCGTTGCAGGGGCTTAGGGGCGTTATAGATAAATATTTTCATTTTTAAACTATTTGACGCACTGTCTTTAAATTTGATAAATAGATTCCTTTCGTAGAATAATGATCAGTTACAAAACGGGTTTTGTGAAAACAGACTTCTAAGTGGCGTTGCGGGGATTAAGAGGCGTAATAGATAAATATATCCGTTTTTAAACTACTTCACCTACCTGCTTGAAAATTGGTAGGTAAGTTTCTTTCATGGAGTAAATATCCGCTACAAAATGGGTTTTTAAAAAATTGACCCCAAAGGGTGTTGCGGGGGTGGGGGTTTAAGGGGCGTTATAAATTCCGATTTTTTAACTATTAGACGTACAGTCTTGAAACTTAGTAAGCAGATTCCTCTCATAGGGTAGAGATACGCTACAAGATGGGTTTCGTGAAAATTGCCCCCAAGTGGCGTTCCGGGACTTAAGGGCGTTATAGATAATTATTTCCATTTTTAAACTATTAGACGCACAGTCTTTATATTTGAAAAAAAGATTTCTTTCATAGAGTAGAGATCAGCTATAAGAAGGTTTTGGGAAAACAGACCTCTAAGTGGCGTTGCGGGGATTAAGTGGCGTAATAGATAATTTTTTTCATTTTTAAACTAATTGACCTACCTGTTTGAAAATTGGTAGGAATGTTTCTTTCATGGAGTACATATCCGTTACAAAACGGGTTTGGGGAAAATTGACCCCAAGGGGTGTTGCGGAGGGTTAAGGGCAGATATAAGTAATTATTTCTATTTTTAAACTATTAGACGCACAGTCTTGAAATTTGGTGAGCAGATTCCTCTCATAGGATAGAGATACACTAGAAAATGTGTTTTGTGAAAATAGACCCCTAGGTGGCGTTGCGGGGGTTCAAGGGGCGTTATTGATAATTTTTTTTGCAGTTTTAATTTATTGGACGCACAAATTTTGCTAAGCAGATTCCTTTCATAGAGTGCAATTCCCCTACAGAATGGGTTTTGTGAAAACAGACCCCGAAGTGGCGTTGCGGGGGCTCAAGTGGCGTTATAGATAATTATCCCCATTTTTAAACTATTAGACGTACAGTCTTGAAATTTGATAAGCAGATTCCTTTCGTAGAGAACCGCTACAAAATGGGTTTTGCGAATATCAACTACCAAGTTTAATTTTGGGAGATTAAGAAGCGTAATCGATAAATATTTCCATTTTTAAACTATTTGATCATCCTGCTTGAAAATTGGTAAGCATGTTCCTTTCATGGAATATAATTCCTCTAACAAAGAGTAAAACGAAAATTGACCTCTAAGGATGGTTGCGAGGGGTCAAGAGGAGTTACAGAAAAATATTCCTGTTTTTAATTGTTAGACCCATATACTTGAAAATTTTTAAGCATGTTTCTTTTGTTGAATAGGGATGCACTAAGAATGTATTTTAAGTAAATAAAGTTCTGCGGAGGGGTGCAGGGGTTACTGGGACGTATTGACACAAAAAAAATCCTTTTTTCGAGCTACAAGGACTATAATAATGAAATTTGGTTTGCATTTTTCTTTTGTTGAATTGAAATCCGCTAAGAGAGGTTATTTTGGAAAACGGCTCTCAACACACACGGGATTACGGGGATATTGATAGTAAAACTTATGTTTTTTTCTGTTTGATTTAGACTTGAAATTTGGCTTGCATGTTCAATTTACGGAGTAGAGATCCACCGCGAAAATTGGTTTTGCGGGAATCCACTTGGTTTTTGGGTTACGAAAGAGCAAACATCATTCTATACTTCAATTTTAGAGATTTTTAGAAAATACAAATTAGATGAGTTCTGCCCTTTTTATTTATCAAGAAGTGACAGTTACAGGTCTAAATATATTTTTCAATACAATCGAATTCTTAATGCTAGGACTTAGATATCAATAATTTATACATAAGCAGTAAAAATTTATAAAACATCATGAAATACCCAGCGAAGCGGGCGGGTAACAGCTAGTATATATATAAAGATAAAACGTTTTAATATTCTTCCACTAAAATAAAAGTTAAAAAAAGTGTTGCAAAATTAAGTTATTATTTGTAAATAAAATTTAAATACTTTTTCGCCCAGATGTTTACCAAATCACACAACTGAAATTCCTCTAATATCCCTCATCTTAGATTTTCCCGTCACTTTTAGCCTCACGCAAAACAACTGTTGGGCATTCGAAAAGGAATCCGAACTTTAGACCAGATATTTGACGCTCCGGATAATAAACGTTCGGATAAACGACGTTCTACGTAATATAAAAAAAATTAAGTCAACTCCTGCTTAGGCCTACAAAGAAATTTTTTATTTTAATTATTTTTTATTACATAATTACAATTAATATAAATATGTATATACATATGACAGAATCACAATATTAAGTGGCAAAATAGAAACCGATTTTTCTTGCAATTTTCCATTTTCCTGTCTATATAGGGTGTTGGAATATTATTTTTGTTTGTTACTATTTTTATTCATTAAATAAATTTAATTATTCCAATAAAATAGTATAATAAAATGAAATCACATTCTCAGAGATTAGGCCATCCCAGGTGGGATTCGAACCCACGACCTTTGGATTAAAAGACTAATGCGCTACCCATTGCGCTACAGTGACAATATGAGTGATTTTTCTTTTTATATATGATGTTGTACAACTATTCGTGTTACTATTTATTCATTATTTAAGTTTAAATAATGAACTATTATTTGAAAAAAACTGTATTAACCTCAAGTGTCATCCACTACAAGTTTTAAAAAATGTATTTGAACTTGAGCGGATGAATAAAACGTATTTTATAAACGATTGAAAATTTGAATAAGATATACACTGGTGTCCAAAAGCTAAGCATAAATCGTAAAATGCGAAAAACATGGAGTAAATATTCGTAAAATTATTCCAAATTTCTTGCGGATATTAATTGGGTGAAGAAGAAACATTGGGTTTATGCAAAACTTTTCAGTCGACTACGTCCTGCGCGAAACACCGGCGCATGTCGGAACGTGGAGAAACCAATTCACGCACCATAGGTAGTTCAGACAAGTTTCGTGCAACTGCTGTGCGAAGGAACGTTGTTAACCATCAAACAAGGTGAATGATGGCACAAAGACGCCAATTGGACCTGTTTACGAAAGGAAGAATCGTTGGAATCCTCACGATCACAAACAGAAGTGTCTCGAATTCTGAATGTGGACCAGTCTGTGACCTCAAGACTGTGGCAGAGGTTTCAAAGAACGGGAGATGTTACTCGAGAACCAGTATCAGGTCGACCAAGAGTCACAACCCCTCACCAAGACCGATATCTGGTAATAAGTGCGCGACGTCAGAGGGGCAGTACTGCCAGAGCACTGGGTTCGGCGCTCACAGTCGCCACAGGAATACGAATTTCGAGACAAACTGTTTACAGGAGACTCAATCATGCTGTCCTGTATGCCAGAAGACCAGCAGTTTGCATTCCCCTCACGTCTGCGCACAAACGCGCTCATTTGAACTGGAGTTTAAAACATCAACATTGGAGTGTGAGAGAGTGGGCCAATGTGATGTTCAGTGACGAATCCCGGTTTAGTCTGAGTAGTGATTCTCGGCGGGTAACGATATGGAGAGAACGTGAAACACGTTTTGAACCAAGAAACATAACGGAAAGACATCATTTACCTTCAAGGGGAGTAATGATATGGGCAGGCATCATGATGGATGGCCGCACAGACCTCCATTTCTTTGACACGGGGTCTGTGACTGCTCAAAGATACAGAGACGAAGTTCTTGAGCCTTATGTTCGCTTGTTTCGAGGTGCTGTTGGTCCTGACTTCATATTCATGGATGATAATGCGCCATGTCACCGAGCGATGCTGATTGATGACTTCCTTGAAACGGAAACATCCAGCGCATGTCGTAGCCTGCAAACTCCCCTGATTTAAATTCTATCGAGCATGTATGGGATATGCTCGGGAGACAAATTGCAGCCCTTTCGCACCTACCAAGCTCCGTTACAGAACTGAAGAGAGCTCTCCAAGAAGCTTGGAACCATTTGAGCCCACAACTCATTCATCATCTCATACCAAGTATGGTAAATCGCTGTGCAGCGTGCCTGGCTGTCAGAGGTGACCACACGCCTTATTAAGCATCAGTATTTTATTTTATGTTTTCTTTCATTTTTTCTTTAAAATGTGAATCCTTGCTATGCTCAGTTTTCCTTCATACTGCTACTTTGGATAATAAAATTAATTATTATAATTCTTTTGATTTGCTTCCTTATTTTATAACCATTTTACACTCGCATATCACGTTTCGCGCCATTCTGATTTACAGTTCCTTCTTTATTCACATAATTGTCAATTATGCTTAACTTTTGGACACCAGTGTATATAAACATATATACGTATATACAGGGAGAGCATGAGCTAATAGTAGGAATTGAAAAAGAGCAGAACTAACACTTGCTATTATTATTGCAATTATTTTGAGGGCAGATAATTTTTTTTCGGAACGCATATTCTAATTATAATAATTAACTTCAAAAAATTTACACAAAAGCGTGATACACAAGATACGTTTGACAAGTGCAAAACTTCTTTTACCTTCAAATAGAAAATGCCAAATAACTTCATTTTCATACGCGATGTTGAAATATTTAATAACAATTATATATCAACATAAGATTTTTAAAAATATTCTCAAAAAATTTCTAGTTTTGAATATAGTGGAAAATAGTATGTCTAAAGGGGAGGGTGAAGAAAATTTACAGGCAAATTTTTACAATATTTTAATGATTAATGCATTGTTGAATTAAAAATTAATTTTTCACGACCGATTCTTTGATATATTAATTATTAGATTACGTTTTTAAGGGGAAACGGAACGATTTCTTAAAACAATCTTTGATTTAATGGTTTTAAGAAAATTTTTGCTTGTAACCTGTGTATATGCTATACGTGAAACACAGTATTGTTTCTCAAAATACCATTAAAAGCAAACCATTTAGTTTTTTAAAAAATAATAATTTAACACAAGTAGTTTTAAAATGTAGCTCCTTTTACTATAACGGACGTACATATGAAAGTGAAATTCTTAAACTTTGTGAGATAATGGAAAAATGCATGAAAAGTAGTTCAGAGTGTTCCTTACTTTATTTTTTTAATTTTTTGCCCATAAAATAGGTGAACATTTCAAACATAAAATAGCAAATCTAAAAGAATATCAAATTTATGATTCATGACAGTGAAGAAAAAGCATTATTTGATTATTTGCATTCTGAAAAAATTAACTATCAAGCAATATCCCCCCCCTCCCTAAAAAAAAAGAATTCCTTATAAATAAAATGAGTTTTTGACGTTAAAACGTGTGAACAGATTGAAATATGTTATTATTCCAAGTTTTGTAATGTGAAACGACGATGAAAAATATTTTGTTGTTTTTACTCCTGAATTTTGCGAGTGAATTTACAAACTTAACAATTTAATTGTCTTCATACTTAACACTAATCTTCATACGCGATAAGTCATTAAAACTTTCTACCCTCCTGATAAAACTTCATTAAATTAAACAAATTTTTAAGCTCTACAGAAATAAACGAAGGCGCACGCATACAACATTTTTGATAATTCTTTAGGCAAAAAATGACGTGAAATGTATTATTTTATCAACCTAAATATTTTCGCCTTTTTTTGTGTACTTTTTTTAGTTTATTTATAGAGTCTGTTCACGTCTGTAATACCGTACAAGACGCAGAAAAATTATAATCTTTACAGTCTAGTGTAATTTATCGAAAACTTCGAAAGTTTTTTTTAAAAAAAAAGGTTGGGGCTTGCCTTTTTTGTCTCTTTCACCTATAAATGCTCTCAAAAAAAGATTGTAACTTTTTTTTAAAAATAAATTATACATTTATTGAAATGTAATATTCCTTGCTCTCTCTCTTCTATAAACAAAATTTAATTAAAAAATTATTTTAAATTGCTTTAAAATTAATTTAAATATTGCTGTATTATCTGACGCAATATTTTGGAATACATATTAGAAATTTACATTTCATAAGTAAGGGTATCCAAGGGAAAAGAAAGTTTGTTCCGGAAGATAAGCTATTATCTAATTATTTTAATTATTTTCAAAGTTAGTATGAAAGATTAAGTGCAAAATATTTTTATATAACAAATTCAAAATACGTAAGATTTTAAAGAAATTCAATAGTTGCGAAATTAAAATTAGACCTTTGAGAAACCGTTCACTTTCCTGAGAATTTTTATAAAAATATGTGACTAAGTTTCAAAAGAATTAAACAAACGTTCTCTGTCAGATCTGAAGTAAACCAGGGAAGGGAAAAAATAAACTGAGAAAAATATTTTTCTGATATTTAAAATTAAAAATCAATCAATCTCCACTACTTTAACACATTTATGCCCCATAAAAAGCTAAAGTGATCCCCAAGGTGCCAAACTTTAAAAAAAACTTATTTGTCAAAGGTTTATTGGTTATAAGCGCAGCATACATAAAAAGATAAATAATTTTAGTGAAAGGATCACACATAAACTTACAATTTCTATCAATAAAAACTATCTTTTTCCGCTTAAAAATGTAAGATTATTGCTCAATTCTCGCACGTTTCCAAAAGCAAAAATTAAATTATAAAACTAGCTGGCATGGCCAGGCGTTGCACGGGCTTTCTCTACTTTCATAAGTTTTCCCTTCCCTTCACAAAATCAGCATGACAAAAGTTCTTTTTCGAAATTACTTTGACTGCAATGTTTATTTCCCCTCCACTAAGCCCGGCGTTGCACGGGCTTTTATCGAGTGTATAACTTAATCCCCATGAGAATTTCCTCTTTCCCTCATGACCCCAGAACTTCTGTGTGGGTGTGTACGCAAACGATGTGAGTGCATGGCCCAGCATCTCTCGGGCTTTCTCGTTTAACATTTCCCCTTCCCTTCAAAAAATCAGCACTTCCAATATTCTTTTTCGAAATTACTTTGACTTCCTTATATCTCCCCCCCCCCGCCTCGCTTAGCCCGGCGTTGCACGGGTTTTTACCGAATAAATTACTTAATCACCACGGGAATATCCTGTTTCCCTCAGGATGATAACACTTCTGTGAGTGTGTACGCGTGCAATGCGATTTTCATAACAATGTCATTAAATTTCTCATTTTCAAAATTTGTTCAATTCTTTTAATTGTGAGACGGGTTTCATTCCTTTTCATTTAACCCGGCGTTGCACGAACATATTCGAATGCATAACATATTGCCATGGAAATTCCCCTTCCTTTATCGAAGTTCCTGGTATATATGTGAGTCCTATATACACTGCTGGCCCCCGTAAATGCAACACCAAGAAAGACAAGAGATAGCACAACAAAATTTATTTTGTAGATAGCATGTTGACCAAGTATCAGATGATTAAATTTATAGACTTCTGTGAAGTGTGGTTTCTGCCAGAATCAGTAGCCAGAGTAGCCGCCATTATTGGAGATCACCGCTGCCACACGCCTCGGCATTGATTCAAAGAGACTTTGGATGTGTTCTTGGGGTACAGCAGACCAAGCAGCTTCCACACATTGCCAAAGTTGATCTAGTGTGGCAGCTGGAGGTGTAATCTGGGTCAATCATTGAGCAACCATGAACCACAT